TAAGGTTTAAAACACCTATTGTAGATCCGGACTAAAGCAAATTTCGGTTTGAAAAGATTCCTCTCACAACTTGTGGGACATGCTAAAGCAGCGCACTTATGGGCCATTAAAACAGCAGTATAATAATAAATTTAGTATTATTTAAACAAGAATAGAAATTAGAATAGGAAAATATCTAAAGTAATTTTATTTAGGAAATGATTACTTTTTTCTTTTTCTAGCATATTTCTCTTGTCAAATATCACCTTATATAAGGTTAGGAGCACTCTACTGAAAAAAAATGGCGGCGGTAACCCAGTCTAATCTGCTCAATGTCGCATCCATAGACATAGGTCTAGAAATCCTCAAGTAAGAGATGGCGACCTTCATTATGTGTGTGATACTTGTATGTTTGTAAGTACAAATTACTAAATTTAGATAATAATGATTCAATATTACTATAAAATATTATTATTCAATATAAGTTGTAAAATTGATGTGGTAATTGAAAATATTGTAACGCGTAGGCATATTCCTAACCAATAATGTACGTGACTTTATAACGCGTAAGTAAATAATTATAGGTAATATCTAGAAAATAACAATGCCAGGCTATTGCGTGCCAAATTGTAAAAATTCAGCGTCTAAAGAATTTCTTATGAAACATTTCCCAAGAAATCCAGACAAAAGAGTTCAATGGATTGTAAATATTCTACGAGCAAATTGGATATCCACGGATTCTAGCTGCATTTGTGAGGTATGATACTTACATTTACTTAACAGCCGACTTCCTAGGCCACTATTCGTAGTCAAATCTTATATTTATTCAGATTAGACTATCTAAAATTCAGATTAAACTAACCTTCAGATTCTTTGTAATTAATAAAACGAACTGCACAGTACAACTAACACTATTAGTATAACTAACACTATTAGTATAAGTATCTGAAGATACTTTTATCAAAATATAGAGAGAGTTTATATTATATACATGTAAATTTATATAATATACATTATTAAATACATTTTCACGATATAACTGAATATTTTTCTCTTTTTCAGATTTAAACACAAATCTTCGCATAATGCATAAAATATAAGAAAATCAATCCAGAATCTTTTATTTTACGGAAAAGAAAAAAATGAACCTAAATACATGCAAAGTCTTTAAGGACTTTGATTGGTATAGTTTCTTCTGCATTATGCGTACAGATGTAAACGACGGAAAAATTTTAAAAATAGTTAAAAAGTTAAAATATAGTTTAATGTTGATGGCTATATAAATATATCTTATCTTTCACTATTATTTGAATGATGTTTTATATTGTGCTTTAATTTTAAAAGTTAAGTAAGTGTTCCATACTTGTTTCGTGTTTCAGGGAGATGAACACTAATCATTCACTGTGGTTTCGTTTATTGTTTAATATTACAATGAGTCACAAAGTCTTAATTACGCACTATCAGTGGAAATGTCCGCATTAACGCATCACACTGTATCACGACGAATATCGTTCGTGTAGAATTCGATGCACTATTGTTGCAACGAATAACGTTCGCATGAAAGTTTGTCTCGTTGATATCGACAACGCCTTGGGGCTGATGCCCTGAGTCGATTATCGAATCGTGGCCGGATTATCACTATAACGCCTCAACAGGAATTTCCTTGAATCGCGATCGCGCACGCAACACTTTCTCTCGAAATTTCTATACGCGGACCTTCGAATTCGCGAGCGATCCGTCTCCGTACTCGGTTCCTGATGGAATGGAATTCTCCACGCCGCAACGACCCCCCATGGACCCTCGATCTCTCTTCTGATTGGTTTCCGAAAAACCTGGAGACTACGCGAAGCGGCGGCGGCGTTTCGGACAATCACAAGCGGATTAATCCTCATACGCGCCGACCACCGCCTTGATCCGTACCGACATCATGTTGTCTTCTTCTGGAAGTCGGTTCTCTCTACGTCTGCACATGTGTTCGCGTACGCGTCAACGAATGATTTATCGGTCTGTTTTGATAGATCTAATCCGACCACGATTTCTTATTGACGTGCACGCCTGTATAGAGCTCTACGCAACAATACTGTTATTAATACAAATAATACTCTATTAGACTAAGGGCCGATTATTCCATCTTGGTAAAGTTTACCTGTTAGGTAAATCTGGTAATCCACGCACGTGATTGGATATTCTTGCTACTTACCTAACAGGTAAACTTTACCAAGAAGTTGGAACAATCGGCCCTAATTAACACTGTTTTTGTCGTATACTGTGATTGTATATATATATATATACAGGGTGTTTCCAAATTAAATCGCAAAACTTCGGGAGCGTGTAGAGGAGTAAAAAACTAAGAAAAAAAGTCCTATAGACATAT